TGGGTAATACAAAGAGCAGTCACTCCAAGCCTCCTCCCCCAGATCCACAGTTACCTTTGATCCTGGAGAGAGGATTTGAAGGAAAAGGTTTCCTTCTCATGGTTCTTCATCCTCCTCAGTGTTCAGTACAAAGAAGAGAGGGATGGCACATGGGTGAAGGGGCTTACTGCTGAGGGAAATGCACTGATGTGGTTATGAGGCAAGTGAAAAGTGGAAAAAAATCATGGAGTGGTTGAGGCTCTAGTTCTTGGCTTGTCTCTGCAGAAGCAGTGGCCAGAAGGACAAAATATGTGAGGACTTAATCTTGCAGAGAATAGGACTTATTTGTAGGAATGCTGGTCATTGAATTCTGCACAGCTGCTGGCCTGCTTCTGTCTCAAACATGGGAAATGAGCACCTCTGCTAGCATGATAATTCGACTGAAGGAAAGTATAGATTAGAATTAGCTGCACTGTGAACAGCTCAGAGTACTGCAACTACCCTGCCATGGGCTTTCCTCAGAGAGGTCTACAGCCTACCTGTTTGGACATGAAGCTTCAGTGAGGGTTAGATTGTAAAATGATATCAGTTGATTTATATAAGTTAAGGATTTGGCATCTATTTGACATATGCATATGAAATAAGATAATTTCTTCAAGTGTTGCTCAGTATATATCTGCAGTATTTTGGTTGTTTGCTGCTCTGTGGTACCTTTTGAATTGCTATTCCTATGCTAACAATGTTAAAACAATGCAATTTTAGCTGTTAATGTGTAGCATGAGAAAAAATTCATAGCGGTGTCATACTGTTAGCTGGATTTGTAGCAGCAAAAGTTATGTCATTACAATTCCACATTCCCCACCAAAATAAGGCTAATATAAAATCTGTTACTGAAGCTGTTAAACTGGAAGATGAAGACAACATACTCAATGGGGAGGAAAGTTTGACTGCAAATGTGTGAATTTTGCACTAGAATAGTTGTTCAGGTGCTTTGGAAATAGGACCCCCTGAGTATTGGACAGGATTCACAAATTTCTAGATATTTTAATAGAAAGAGAAAACCGTGCACCTGCCAGCACTGAAAAGTTCAGAAGCCATCCCTGCAGAGAAATCTCTGTCTGCAATACAAAGACCTGACCTACAAAAAACAGGCTAGCTACAATGATCTCCATGCACTTCATTTTTTGTTTTCCAAAGGGTGACGCATTCCCTCCTGACAGTAAAATTACTTCCAGTTTGTTTTAAACAACCTTCTGTTGTATCGAAATAGCTAAAAACAGTGGAGATTGTGCTTCATTTGTGCGAATGCCCTTTTATATGCAAAATTATACTTTTACAGTTATTACTCTTGCCATCAGGAGGGCTGTAAGATAGTTATATAGTTATATCTGCTTTTTTAAATAATGTAGCCTTAGAAATAAATAAATCATTCCGGATCATACTTTGACCTACTCAGGTGTAATTAGGTTAGTTTCTGTGATAACAACTTAATTCAAAGGGGATGGATCTAAATATTAATTGCCTTACTCAGAGAGGAAATTTCTAATTAGTGTCAACAAGGCAAAGCAGAAAATTCAGGGATAGTGATACTTTCCAAACCGTCCTGAAGAGCTGCATTGCCTTTTCCTGGTAAGTTAACCCTGGGACCAAAGAAAGAGCTGAATACCTGCTAACCACCCTCCTCTACCTGAGACCAAATAGGTATGAAGGGCCCAAATAAGAAAAGCAAGGTGCACCTTAGAAAGCAGATCTTCCTGGGGCCAGGGATTACTCACTGTGACCTTTCATCCGTGTCCACATGTGGTCTGTCCTGGTAAGGAATGCCTGACTCCCCTCTCCGCTGGTAAACTTCTGTAATAGTCTCCCAGGGAAAGATATGTTGATTTCTTCCACAAGTTGCACATGCATACCAAGTGTCTCAATGTTCATAGTGAAAAATAATGTTTTCTAATATCTTTTGTCTTTAAACAAACTCCTAGGATACTTGAGGCTAGTGATAATCACACTCCCATTTTTTGATGAGATTAATTCATCATTTAACATAAATTAATTTTCAGAGATGACGTTTAGGTTCTGCTGTTGTTTTGTAACTTTTAAGATGGAAGGCATAAATAGCTGAGTGTGAAAATGGGAACAGTTTCTTGTGAAAGCATGAGTCTGGTGAAGATAGTAGCAAAACTCACGGATTTTGGCAAGGTGAAGATTTCACCTGTGATGTCTCCTCCTGTTCTACCACTGGGAACACTTTCTTGACAAACACATTTAATCTCTCTGGCCTTGTTTTCCCATGCCTAAATTGGGGATAAAAATACATAGCAATCACTGTAAGGATCTTGGAATATCTTTGCTGCAAAATAGTGTAGAACATGAAGTGTTGCGGATCCTTGTGTCTCAGGTGGAATTGCATTGCTTTCCTCATCTCTTTGAGTCAGCCCTGCTCAGCTAGCTACCTCTTGGCTCGGTCCTGGGCCAGCCTCTGGCCATTGTGAATACTGAGGCTGTGACTGAACATCACAGCTCTCCAGACACTCTCCACAGCCTCGCTGGATCACGTACCGTGCCTTGAGGGAAGGATTTTATTGGAAGCCAGATTTTAGAAATAAAAAAGAAGCAGGTTATATTATCCAGCATTTGGCAGATTTTCTTTGACAATTGCAGGTACAAGGACTAATTCATTGTCTCTTCAGCTCAGGCTCAGCATATACAGGTTCTGTTTAGGTTTCGAAGAGGGAAAAATAATTTCAAATCCATGTGTCTTTCTGACTGCCCTTTTTTCTTTTTTTAACTCCCTGCTCAGGCACACTTTCCCCACCACCGCTTTCCATGCTCATCCTCTTTCCAGGTTAGAAAAGAGGAGTCACAGAGCCAAAATCTTTATTCCAACTTCCTCAACCTCTTTTTTAATAATTCTGAGCTAACTGTGGAGCACTACTTGCTGGCATCCTTCCTCTATGGGCTTGACAGTGCTAGACCAGTGATTTTACCCTTTTCCTTTACCAGGAGATCATTTGAGTCAAGTGCAGTGAATGTAAAATTGAATGCCCATGAACTCTGCCATCTGTCATGCAAGGCATTTGAGATTGTGTCTAACTGTTTTTTAGCAAAGACTTGATTTCTGCTGTTTATAAAGACAGTGGTGCCTGTGAGAAGAATAGTAGTAATATGCAAAGGAAGGTTTATGAGTGATTTGAATATTCCTCCCCCATCCCAGTAATTAGATTTTAAAAGATTTCATGGAGTGGAGCAGCTTCAGAAACAACAATTCTTTTCTTATTACTATCAACAAGGGGTAGCTGAAAGATGTTTAATGATTTCCCTCCTCAGTAATACAGTTTAATGCATAGAAATTAATCATGTTTTATAAAAGCTGATGGGCAACACTGATTTTTACAAGTGGTTGTTTCATTAGCTTAGATATTATTATTGATTAATTTTATGGTAGGGCTACAGCAGATCTATTTGTTTTATCACAGGATTGCTCACAATGCATAGCGGCCACTGCTGCCAATTTGTTTAGCGTGGAATATGTGCTATATTGCAGGATTTTGTTTCATATGACTTTATTAACAGGAGGATTATGGATTTCTGTGGTTAACTTTACCTAATGATATTAGTCTATAATGCAAGAGAACCAGTATGCGT